ATATATATATATATATATATACACACACACATGGTCTTGGCTGGGCACAGTGACTCACACCTGTAATCCCAGCACTTTGGGAGGCTGCGGCAGGAGGATCACCTAGGGTCAGGAGTTCAAGACCAGCCTGGCCAACATGGTGAAACCCCACCTCTACTAAAAATACAAAAAGGAGCCGGGTGTGGTGGCACACACCTGTAATCCCAGCTACTTGGGAGGCTGAGGTAGAAGGATCTCTTGAACCAGGGAGGCAGAGGCTGCAGGGAGCCGAGATCATGTCATTGCACTCCAGCCTGGGCAACAAGACCAAAACTCCATCTCAAAAAACAAAAATAAAAATAAATAAATAAATAAATAAATATATGGTCTTATAATCTTATGGGACCACTGTTATACATGGGGTCCATCATTGACTAAAATGTCATTTTGTAACTTTCTGCCAATAGGAAACGCTCACTTGATACCATTATACATTCCCCATTCTCTTCCCACCCACTACTTAAAACCATTTTTTTTCATGTGTTTATGTAATCATTTACCCAATACATATTCATTAAGCAACTCTTCCAGTTACGGCTCCTTGTAAGCCTGATTTGGTTAATTATGCTGTTCAACTTTTTAAAATGTGTATTACTTTTTTCTGCTTATTCATTGGGTTACTAAGAAGGTTGTGTTAACGTTCTGCAAGTATGAGGCTGGGCGTCGTGGCTCACACCTGAATCCCACCACTTTGGGAGGCTGAGGCAGGAGGATTGCTTGGGCCTGGGAGGTTGAGGCTGTAGTGAGACAGGGTCTTGCTCTGTCACCTAGACTGTACTGCCGTGGTGTGATCTCAGCTCACTGTAACCTCCGCCTCCCAGGTTCAAGCGACTCTTGTGCATCAGCCTCCTGAGTAGCTGGGACTACAGGTGTGTGTCACCACACCCAGCTAATTTTTTGTATTTTTAGTAGAGACAGGGTTTCACCATGTTGGTCAGGCTGGTCTCAAACTCCTGGCCTCAAGTGATCCACCTGTCTCAGCTTCCCAAAGTGCTGGGATTACAAGCATGAGCCACTGCGCCCAGCCTGATTGTAGATTCTTTTTGCTTCTGCTAACTTATGCCTCATAAAATTTAAAGCTACGTTATTACTTTTAGGGACATTATGTATTGCTGTTTAATAGATTGTTTTATTATTATAAAATATCCCACTTTTCCTCTAGTAAAACTTCTTCCCTTGAAGTCTTCAGTCTGATACTAATACTGGTTGAACATCCCTAATTTGACAATCCAAAATCTGAAATGCTCCAAAATCCAAAACTTTTTGAGCACTTACAAGATGCTTAAAGGCTATGATCTAAGGAAATGCACACTAAAGCCATTTCAGATTTGGGACTTTTGGATTAGGAAAGCTCAACCAGTAAGTATAGTACAAATATTCCAAATTAAAAAAAAAAAAAATCTGAAATCTAAAACACTTCTGGTCCCAAACACTTTGGATAATGAGTACTCGACCTTATAGCCACAATAGTTTTCTGCTGTTAAGTGTTTGGATGATTACTTTTCCTCATCCTTTTAAACTTAAAATAAGTGTGTCTTTACTGTAAGCATGCCATTCCATGTATTTAATGGAGTGTGTAGTCCACTGACATTTAATTATTGATACTTTGTTTACACCTACCTTCCTCTTTGTATCATCTGAGCTTTGTTCTTTTTCATTCATCAAGTATTTCTACTGTACCATTTTACATTTAGTAGCTATTTTTTAAACAAATTGTGGTAAAAAAAAAATTAACAAAATTCCCCATCATACCCATTTTTATGTGTACAGTTCAGTGTTGAGTATATTCACATTGTCATGTAATCCACTGCCTTTTATTATCCTTAAAAACAGCATCTCTCATCTCCAAGCATGTTTTAACATGTTTCCCACCCCATGCTGAGAAACTACCACCCTGCTCTTTTGTACAGATTTTTTGTTTTTTTGGGTTTTTTTGAGACGGAATTTCGCTCTTATTGCCCAGGCTGGAGTGCAATCGCGCAGTCTCAGCTCACTGCAACCTCCACCTCCTGGGTTCAAGAGATCCTCCTGCCTCAGCTCCCACTGCTCCATTCTGCTAGCAGAAGTACCAGCTGTAAATGTGAAGCGTGCACTCACACTGGTTTCTGCTGCCAGCTCGGCTAGGTGTCCTGAGCACACAGCAGTGTGGCAGCCCAACTGAGGAGAATGAAAATTTGTGTTTCTCAATAGGAAGATGTGGATCCTGTTTTCTCTGCTTCTAAATACATAACTTAAGCCAGTTACTTCACCTCTCTGAACCTTATTTACTCATAAAAATGAAAATAACAACACATGAACATAAACAGGGCTGTTGTACAATCAAAGCAGATAATATACCTAGAAGCCTTTTTTTTCCCACTATGAAGCACTATAAAAAACATAAGGTGTTCATTATTATTTGCCCCATAATTCAAGTTTGCACTGAGGGCAAAGAGACTTTTTAAAAGATACATACAGGTGAATTCACAGCAGTCTAAATCAATGACAAGCATTTGTAAATTACTGAGCTAGGAAGCAAGTTTACATGAAAAATACCTCTACAAGATCCTTTCTTGGTCTCAACTTTAAAAGGGGTTCGCTGAGACGGATGGAACACATTCCACCCTTCCCTTCATAGCTGCATATCCCAGCACACCTAGAAAACAATCACCATAAAAATGTGTTACATTGACCAAATATGCCCAAGTCCTTACACATTCTTGGGCAGTGCACACTAAGAGAACTCATTTGGCAGATGGCTTTCTTGAGAGTATACCCCCTTGGTTAGCAGATACTTGCATTTCACCCAATTAATTAGTTACAGCTCCCGGGGGCGCCTCCCGCGACGGCTCCCCGGCCAGGCGAGGAAGGAAAGCAGCGCCCTCTCACCACCCTGCTTGAGAAGGTGGAAGGCTGCAGGCACCTGATAGAGACGCCAGGACAGTACCTGGTGTACAACGGGGACCTAGTGGAATACGATGCGGACCACATGGCCCAACTGCAGCTTCCCTTGCCCTAGCTAGGCTGCAACAGCTCGAAGGCAATCCCATTCTGCTACACCCGGTCTCCTTACGACAAATCACAGTTTGGTGTTATTAACAAGCAGGTATCTCCAATAGTGTATCTCCAAAATGATAACAGACGCCTGTATAAAGGAGATTGGTACTTTAAACACAATTTAATATATCTTAATTTGTTTGTAGGTTGTTTTCTGTCAACTCAAAAACAAGCATGCTGGTGGTATACAACTGTATCTTAAACTTCACCCTATTCACGTGCAGGAGTAGATTATTATTTCAAATAAGATTTCTCAAATTTAGCATGTAGAAAAAGAATCGGTTTAAAAGCATCACTGAAGATCCCCACTGCAACACACGAGCTCACTAAAGTGGGTTCCTAACGGGAAAGAGAGGAGGGGAACGCACATCCTTTGGAGGTTACTCTGCGTCCTCAGCACTTTCTTAGGGGCAGATTTGGTTGCTTTTCCCTTCAGGGTCCTACAGCACTATCATAAGGCAAATCAGGAACTTGTTATTTTCAAGTTTAGTGAGATTCAAACACAAATCTCTTTTCTCGTTATGGCCCTGAGTCCAACCGTGGCGGTGGGGTCTACACAGCTTTCTTATTGTTCGAGTGGGAGAAAAGGTAAGAAAAAGAGAAATACGCCAAGGCAGGAATTGCCAGGTCCAAAACCAGACTCCCCCCTCATTTAACGCCCCCTGGGACCGTCGGACCAGAGAAAGGAGAGAAGACCAGGACCGGGGGCTGCAGGAGAACTGCCAGTCCCGCCTCTTTCCCCAGCGGGGCTCGGAACTCACAGGGTCATTCGCACGCTCCACTTCACCTCGACGGCCTCCAGCTGGCCCCAGAAGAACTGGTCGTTAAACTGAACAAACAGGGCCTGCAAGTCCGGTGTGGGGTCCACCAACTCCCACGACGCGTCCACTAGCGACAGGGACTCGTGGGCCTGATCGCGCTCCGCCTCCTGCAAGTTCCACTCCTCCTGAAGCCGCAGGGCCAACATCAGGTCATCGTCCATCGTTGCCAGGATCACAGGCGGGATCCGCCGGTGTCAGGCTGGCTCCAAGTTAGGCTGCGACCCCAAGCCGCCTAGCGGAGGACCAGGACTACCTCCTAGGAGATACCGGCTCTCGAGACGGCCAGTCAATCCCGCGAGAGTTCGCGGAAACTCGCTTGAGAAAGAGAACGTGAACGAGAACGGCGCTTACCCCAAACGCCGAAGCCAAGATTCTAGGGCTTTAAAGCAAGCAGTCAGCACGACACCTCCTAGTGGGCGCAGAACCTGGGCTCACAGGGCATCGGCCCTACGAAGCTTTCAGGAAGCTAGTTCCAGCCTTTACTCTTTGCCGGTTATTTCAAACCTCAACGTCACGCTCGGTTCATGCGCAGTACCCAAATTGCTCTCGGCCTCTCCCCTCACTTCCGCACTAGCTCCTCCGGCGCATGCGCTTTAACTGATGGCATTCCTGCGCAGGCGCAATGTCTGCGCTCGGCCCCCTTGCGCAGGCGCAGTGTCTGACGCTCAGACCCGGCGCAGGCGCACTCGTCTCGTTCCAATTCCTGCTTCCTCAGCCCAGGAGCTCGGCGGGTCTTGGGTGGGTGTAGACAGCCGCGGCGGCTGCGGCGCCGATAGTGACAGTGAGTGCGTGAGACCCTGACGGAAATGGCGATGGCGATGGCGATGTCGGACAGTGGGGCGAGCCGCCTGCGTCGGCAGCTGGAGTCAGGGGGTTTTGAGGCGCGGCTGTACGTGAAGCAGCTCTCGCAGCAGTCGGATGGGGACCGGGACCTCCAGGAGCACCGGCAGCGCATCCAGGCGCTGGCGGAGGAGACGGCGCAGAACCTGAAGCGCAATGTCTACCAGAACTACCGGCAGTTCATAGAGACGGCCCGTGAGATCTCCTACCTGGAGAGCGAGATGTACCAGCTCAGCCACCTGCTGACGGAGCAGAAGAGCAGCCTGGAGAGCATCCCGCTTACGTTGCTGCCTGCCGCAGCTGCCGCCGGAGCCGCTGCCGCCTCTGGCGGGGAGGAGGGAGTCGGTGGGGCGGGGGGCCGAGACCACCTCCGAGGCCAGGCCGGTTTTTTCTCCACCCCCGGGGGCGCCTCCCGCGACGGCTCCGGTCCAGGCGAGGAAGGAAAGCAGCGCACTCTCACTACCCTGCTTGAGAAGGTGGAAGGCTGCAGGCATTTGCTGGAGACGCCAGGACAGTACCTGGTGTACAACGGGGACCTAGTGGAATACGATGCCGACCACATGGCCCAACTGCAGCGGGTGCACGGCTTTCTCATGAACGATTGTTTGTTGGTGGCTACCTGGCTGCCACAGCGGCGGGGGATGTATCGCTACAACGCTCTCTATTCCCTAGATGGTTTGGCCGTAGTCAATGTCAAGGACAACCCGCCCATGAAGGACATGTTCAAGCTGCTTATGTTCCCCGAGAGCCGTATTTTCCAGGCCGAAAATGCTAAAATCAAACGAGAGTGGCTGGAAGTGTTGGAGGAGACCAAGAGGGCCCTCAGTGAGAAAAGGCGAAGGGAGCAGGAGGAGGCAGCGGCCCCTCGAGGGCCACCCCAAGTGACTTCCAAGGCCACTAACCCATTTGAGGATGACGAAGAAGAAGAGCCAGCTGTTCCTGAGGTAGAGGAAGAGAACGTGGACCTCTCCATGGAATGGATCCAGGAGTTACCTGAAGACCTGGATGTCTGCATTGCGCAGAGGGACTTTGAAGGGGCTGTTGACCTGCTGGATAAATTGAACCATTACCTGGAAGATAAGCCTAGCCCACCTCCTGTAAAAGAACTAAGGGCCAAAGTGGAGGAGCGAGTTCGACAGCTCACTGAGGTGCTGGTTTTCGAACTCTCCCCAGATCGTTCCCTGAGAGGTGGTCCCAAGGCTACTCGCAGAGCAGTTTCGCAACTGATCCGGCTGGGCCAGTGCACGAAGGCCTGTGAGCTATTTTTGAGAAACAGGGCAGCCGCTGTTCATACAGCAATTCGTCAGCTTCGCATTGAAGGCGCCACTTTACTCTATATTCATAAGCTGTGCCATGTCTTCTTTACCAGCCTTCTTGAGACTGCAAGAGAATTTGAGATTGATTTTGCAGGCACTGACAGCGGCTGCTACTCCGCCTTTGTGGTCTGGGCAAGATCAGCCATGGGCATGTTCGTGGATGCTTTCAGCAAGCAGGTGTTTGATAGTAAGGAGAGCCTCTCAACAGCAGCTGAGTGTGTAAAAGTGGCTAAGGAGCATTGCCAGCAACTGGGTGATATCGGACTGGACCTCACCTTCATCATCCATGCCCTTCTGGTGAAAGACATCCAAGGGGCCTTGCACAGTTACAAAGAAATCATCATTGAAGCCACTAAACATCGCAACTCTGAAGAGATGTGGAGAAGGATGAACTTGATGACGCCAGAAGCCCTGGGTAAGCTCAAAGAAGAGATGAAAAGTTGTGGGGTAAGTAACTTTGAGCAGTACACAGGGGATGACTGCTGGGTGAACCTAAGTTACACAGTGGTTGCTTTCACCAAACAGACCATGGGCTTCTTGGAAGAGGCTCTGAAGCTGTATTTCCCAGAGCTGCACATGGTACTTTTGGAGAGCCTGGTGGAAATCATTTTGGTTGCTGTTCAGCATGTGGATTATAGTCTTCGATGTGAGCAGGATCCAGAGAAGAAAGCTTTTATCAGACAGAATGCATCCTTTTTATATGAAACAGTCCTCCCTGTGGTGGAGAAAAGGTTTGAAGAAGGTGTGGGGAAACCTGCCAAGCAACTCCAAGATCTGAGGAATGCATCTAGACTTATTCGTGTGAATCCTGAAAGTACAACATCAGTGGTCTAATGCTTGGGTCTGTTTATATGTATGTATATATATAGAGAGAGCTTATATATTATTTATATTTATATTAAGTTGTATTAGCATACTCTTTATAGTTTCAAACACAACTTGAAAATTAAAAGTGCCCTCTTAGAATACAAAAATCAAAAAGAGGAAAAGAAGTTAAATTAAGCCCAAATAACAAAAATACTGGAATTATTAAAACATATAGTATGCTAGCTATCCTTTTAAATTATGCTGATTCTCTTCTGAAATTATGGTCACACTATACACTATAGCATTTCAGTTTTATCCTTTGATAAAACACTTCTTGGTTTTTTTTTTTTTTTTTTTGAGACAGGGTCTCACCCTGTTGCCCAGGCTGGAGTACAGTGGCAACGTCACAACTAACTGCAGCCTTGACCTCCCAGGCCCAGGCAATCCTCTCACCTCAGCCTCCCATGTAGCTGGAACCACAGGCTGGCACCACCATACCCAGCTAATTTTTGTATTTTTTGTAGAGATGGGGTTTTACCGTGTTGCCCGGGCTAGTGTTTTCTTTCTTTTTTTTTTCCGCACAGTATATATTATACAGCAGAGTAATAATATCTATAAACATAGAGTTTATGTTGTGAAAATTTTCCCAGTTCACTAAAAGGTTTCCTAAAGGGTACAGTGCAGTATAAAACACCCTGCCTCATTTATTTCTCCTCAAAACATTGGACTATTTGGGAAAAAGAAAAGCGTTGGGAAAATTGGTTTTAGGGTAAGTTTTAGTCAAAAGAATTCTTTCTTGAAACTAGCTGGTGTGTGGATTCAGATACTCTGATCCTTACAGAATCCAAGAGGAAGCTTTCATAAAAACAATTCAGCAACTATTTCTAATATTATTTGAATGGCTAATTTTCAGTTACTAATTAGCAGCTTTGTAATACTTGATTCAGGAGCGTTTACTTGGAAATCCTAAGGACTATAATAAAATTTTTCAACATATTTCTAAATTGCGTGAGTTTCCAACTGTAGGTTTTGCCTTTGTCACATTTTAAAAAATAATAATAGGCAGGACACATTGGGGACTCTGGCAGCAGTTGCCAGGTTTTAGCTGCCACCGCTTCAGTTTAAGATACAGCTGTCCCATCCTCCCCCATTCAGGGTAGGATATATAGTGGCCTAGATGTCATGCAAATGGAAAAAAAGTTTTAACTGAAATATTTATTTAGATTTCAGGGTCTAGATGGATGGGAAATCAGAAAAACATATGCAAATCTCAGTGTTCTCACTATGACTACTCTGAGCAGAGATTCGGTTTTGTTTCTTTTTGTACCAAAGTGAAAACAGGTGAGACAATGTGCCCAAAACAAAGGGAAGACGAGAACCTTCTGTGACTTCTAAAATGTTCCATGCCGCATTTTTCTTGTTTCATTTTTTTAAACATGAATATAATGCTTCAAATTGTTTAGTAAAACAAAATCAGAAATGTGAGCTTCCCAAGGTTTCTAAACTATCGCTTCTATTGTATGTTCTATAACATTCCTTATACTTTGAGAGAAACTATGCTTGCTGTGATCCATTTTGTCTCTAGCTTCTAGTTGTGATTCTTGTCCATAAGCACCAAATTTGATGCCCATGATTTCAAAAGGTCATTTCTTTTATCTAAATGAAAATGGTGGTACTAAGACTGTGAAAATTATGTGAAACCTAAAATAGTTGCCAAAATGGCTCAGGGTTGTAAAATTCATTGACTTAATTATTCATGTGCCAGATCAACCCCTTTATTTTCGCTTTAGCTATGCATATTTAAAATATTGGAAAGTATCAGATTTACAGATTTTCTTTTGACTAATTTTTTTCACATAACTTTAGGATTTTCGAAAGTTATAACCATAACTGGATGTCTTAGCTGAGCAAAGGCGGTTATAATTTGTCTTTTTAAGATCACTGGAAATTGTTAAAATTTTGTGGTAATTATGATTATTCTGTGCCATTTACAGTTTCTAATACTATACTGTATGAAATATGTATAAATATATGATGCTGGGTCTGTGAAATGATACTTCTGAAATGAAAATTCCTCATAAGGCATGAAGTTGTAAAAACTTAAATGTGTATAGTTAGATATTTAAATGGTTGCTTCTTCATAGAATTGTCTGCTTTTTGAAACTGGAAGTACAGGATTTTCTTCAGGTAAAATCTGTATGTTCCAATTACAGTTGTAGCTGAAGGAAGTATGCTTTTGGTAAGTCAATTAGTGTGGTAAGTTGACAAAAGACCCCCAGTGTTGTACCCAGACAGAACAATTATGTTACATTCCTCTAAGTGGAGTGGGCTTTCTTCTCTAATTATTTTGTTTTATTAAACTCAAAGACAAGTTCTAAAAATTGAATGCAATGAGAGATTGTCCAGAAATATAACATATACTAAAATATACCACTTAAGCATTGATTGACTTTTCTTGTTTACTTCAAGAATATAAAACTTGTCACTTGAGCTTGGAATCATGGGCTTGATTGAATTAATTACTCTTGGGAAAAAAGGCACCTTGTGGCATTAAGTCTCGTTTTGATTAAAGCCTCATTTCACATAATTGCTAAAAACTCACTTTTGTTTAATATACTACCTATAGTTTAATTATCAGCACTTGTATTTTGTAACTTGATATCTTACCTAGGATTGGGAATTTGGGACATGACATGTACTATAAAAGTCAGTCTATGTACATATTGCTTATTGATGTGCTGTGATATGAGGGAATCTGAAATGTTTCATAAAAATAAAGCTTAAACATTGTCTTACACTGGATAAAAGTGATATTACAATATTATATCTATTGCTCTTCTTTAGTATTCAATATTTTTATATTCTTGTTACTGAAATATTCTTTGAAGACCTTAGTTTTTTGTTTTATTTATGTGGGGAGGATAGTTAGGAAGCAGTTTGCTAAATTAAGTAAGTGTTCTGCTTACCATCAGAATTGTGAATAAATCAGACCTCAATTTTTTAAGATTTCCTTGAATGGAAAATTTCAGAGGTACAAAATGTGAATTTATTCTAAAACAGTAGATTTTATACCATCTGCACATTTCTAAATAAATAAAATAAAATGTAGGCCACAAGACCTAGGAACTAAATGACAAGGCTCAGCATTTTTTTTTTTTATTTTTTTATTTTTTGAGACAGAGTCTTCCCATGTCGCCCAAGCTGGAGTGCAGTGGCGCGATCTCTATGTCGGCCTCCGGGGTTCAAGCCATTCTCCTGTCTCAGCCTCCTGAGTAGCTGAGATTACAGGTGCCCGCCACCATTCCTGGCTAATTTTTGTATTTTTAGTAGAGATGGGGTTTCACCATGTTGGCCAGGCTGGTCTCAAACTCCTGACCTCAGGTGACCCACCGGCCTCGGCCTCCCAAAGTGCTGAGATTACAGGCGTGAGCCACCATGCCTGGCCAGGCTCGCCCTTTTGAAAGTAATATGTATATACTGAGGAAATTATCTCATATTTAAAAGTATCGAATGCTATGCTTCATATTGACTGTAATGTGGGAGTGCAGAAGACAAAATAATTTTAAACATGCTTTGTCCTCTTAAGATGCTTAGAAATTGGAAAAAGTCGACAAATGTAAGTGAGAGAAAAATGCACAGCTGTGTACAGTGGGAATACCAAGAAGGAAGAGAGCAGTGTACTTTTAAGGAGTTCAGAAAGTTCTCATGGAATTGTTGGCATTTGAGCTGGTCCTTGAAGAATGGACAAGATTAAATGTGCAAAGAAAAAGGAAGAGGAGGACCTGAGCCCAAGGCACAGAAGTGGGAATGTGGGTGTCATATGAAGAGACCTTCCTGGATAGATTGCAGAGTTTGGAAAAGCGTAAATAAGCCACACTTGCCTACAAAGGAAACTTCAATCCATATGCAATGTGCAGAAGAGTTAAAGTAAAAAGTCAAAGTCCTCATACCGCAACAATCCCACTCACCAGAGGTAACCACTAGTAAGAATTTCATACACATATTTTTCCAGAAATTGGATCATACTCTGCATACAGTTCTGCATCTTGATTTTAGTCACTTAGCAATTCGGTGTTTTTAAGACATCTCACATCAGTACCTCTAGCTGTACCTCACTGGGTTTTTCTTCTGCGATTGGGTAGTAGTCAATCACAGTGAATGAATATATCATAATTTTGCATTTTCCAGTTACTTGGTTGGCTTCAAGTTTTGGTGATTACAAAAAAAAAAAAAAAATTCTGAAAACCTGTGCACATCCTCATAATTTGCTTATGTGAATATACCTATGGGATGTATTTTTAAAAATTACTCTGCCAAACTACATTTTAAATTTAAGCATTACCAGTTGCTCATCAGGAGCGTTAAATCATTTTAAGCTGTCTCCAACAGTATAGGAAAATACCTGTTTACATGAATGCTCATAAACCTGTATTCATTCATTGTTTAATAAGAGTAGTCTTGCTGGGCACAGTGGCTGAAGTCTGTAATCCCAGCACTTTGGCATGCTGAGGAGAGCAGATCGCTTAAGCCCAGGAGTTCGAGACCAGCCTGAGCAGCATAGGTAGACCCCCGTCTTTACAAAAAATAGAAAAATTAGCCGGGCGTGGTGACACACACCTGTAAGTCCCAGCTACTCGGGAGGCTGAGGCAGGAGGATTGCCTGAGCCCAGGAGGTTGAGGCTGTAGCAAGCCATGATAGCACCACTGCACTGTAGCCTGGGGGACAGAGTGAGACCTCGTCTCAAAAAAAAGAGTCATCTTATTAGTAATAATATTCATTGTTACTAATCTTCTCTGTGAAAAAATAGCTTCTAGGTTGTTCTCATTTTTGTTTGTTGGTTGGTTTTTTGAGCCAGGGCCTCGCTGTGTCGCCCAGGCTGGAGTGCAATGGTGCTATCGTGGCTCACTGCAGCCTCAGCCTCCCTGGCCTGGCCCAAGGGATCCTCCTGTGTGGCTAATTTTTAAATTTTTCTATACAGACAGGATAGAGGTTGGGGGGTGGGGTGTTCACTTTGTTGCCGAGGTTGGTCTTGAACTCCTGGGCTCAAGCAATCTTCCCACCTCGGCCTCCCAAAGTGCTAGCATTATAGGCATCAGCCACCATGCCCAGCTTCTAGTTTTGTATGTAATTATGAGTGAGGTTGAGCAACTTTTTCTGTTAAGCTTCCTGTTTATATATTTTGCCACTTTTCTCTTAGATTACCTGTGTATTGTGATTTTGTGGGAGTTTATTTTATATTTAGGAAATTAACCCTTCATGTGTACTGCTGTAGTTTTTCTTAGTTTGTCATTTGTTTGTGTAGCCATGTGTTTATTTTCATAGTATGGTAAATTTTAACCTGTTACAAAGCCAGATTTATGTGGGTTTTTTTCTTTATGACTTCTATGTTTTGGGTTAGGCTTGGGAAGGCCTTATCCATGCTCAGATTCTAAAAATATGTTTTTCTTCTAGTAATTTATTACATTTTAATATTTGAAGTTTGCTTCATCTGTTATTCATTTTAAAGTAAGTGGTGATGGCCAGGCACGGTGGCTTATGCCAGTAATCCCAGCACTTTGGGAGGTGGAGACAGGCAGATCACCTAAGGCCAGGCTGGCCAACATGGTGAAACCCCATCTCTACAAAAGTACAGAAATTAGCCAGGCATGATGGCAGGTGCCCTATTCCGAGCTACTTGGGAGGTTGAGGCGGAGGTTGCAATGAGCCGAGATCGTGCCATTGCACGCCAGCCTGGGCGAGAGAGCGAGACTCCCTCTCAAAAAAAAAAAAAAAAAATGTAAGTGATGATGTCAGAATGCAATTTTCCCACAAACAATTAGCAAATTTTCACAACAATTTTGAATTGTCCTTTTTACCCACTGATTTGAAATGCCACTAATACTTCTATTTCTGTTCAGTAACAAGCTATTTTGGTTAACTATAGTTTTGAAATTTAATAACTGGTAGGGCTGGTCTCATTCTTCTGTCTCAAGTTTTTCCCAAATACACTCGTCCCTTTGGTCTGTGGGGAACTGGTTGTAGGACCTCCCTCATATACCGAAATCCACAGATGCTCAAGTCCCTGGTATAAAATGGTATATTATTCGCACATAACCTATGCACATCCTCCTGTATGTTTTAAATCATCTCTAGATTACTTAGATGAGACTATTGAATACTATGTAAAGGCTATGTAAATAGTTACACTGTATTGTTTAGGGAATAATGACATTTTTAAAAGTCTGTACATGTTCAGTACAGACACAGTTTTTTTTTTGTTTTTTGTTTTTTGTTTTTTTTTTTGAGACAGAGTCTTGCTCTGTCGCCCAAGCTGGAGGGCAGTGGCGCGATCCTGGCTCACTGAAAACTCCGCCTCCCGGGTTCACGCCATTCTCCTGCCTCAGCCTCCCGAGTAGCTGGGACTACAGGCGCCCGCCACCGCGCCCGGCTCATTTTTTGTATTTTTAGTAGAGACGGGGTTTCCCCGTGGTCTCGATTTCCTGACCTTGTGATCCGCCCGCCTCGGCCTCCCAAAGTGCTGGGATTACAGGCGTGAGCCACCGCGCCCGGCCCCCAGTTTTTTTTTTAAAGTATTTTTTATTCCTGCTTTGTTGAATCCGTGGATGCAGAACCCATGGATATGAAGGGCTGACTATATTCTCACATATTTATTATTCGAGTTGTATTTTGAATGATTTTATGATAATCTTTTACCGAAGGGCCAACTGTATTCTCATGTTTATTATTCAAGTTGTATGACAATTTCATATCAGCCCCCAAAGAATTGACATTTGGATTGAAATCATATTGAGTCTCTAGATTAATTTAGGGAGAATTGACATCTTTATAATTTTGAATCTTCCTATCCATGTATATGCAAGTGTTTTGTATTTCAGTGGCATTTTCAAATTTTCTTCAGGTAGGTCTCTTTCTTGGTGTTTATTCCAAAGCATGTCATCTGTTAACGCTTTTGTGAATGGAATGTTTACCTCCATTATGTTTTCTGATTGTACATAGAAAATCCTGATTTTAATTACAAATATTGTAACCAGTGCCTTATCTAATTATTTTATCAATTTTAATAGTTTTCTGGTTGTTCCTTTGGCGTTTTCAAGTATACAATTATATCAATTGCAAATAAAGATCATTTTACCTCTTTTCACTTTTCATACATCTTATATAGTTCTCTTAGTAGTTTATGTTAAGATAAACATCCAAAGCTATGTTATATAATTTTTTTTGCTCAATATTCATGGGAACATTTTTCCTATTTTGCCTTGAAACATGATGCTGGCTTTTGATCATCGTGTAAAGGAAAAAGTCTACTGTTCCAGCTAACTGAGATTTGTGGGTTTGATCTTTTTAGTTCAGGAATGCATATTGAGTTGTCAAGTGACTCTCAGCGCTTATTGAGCAAATCATTATTTTTCTCTTCCATCATATTAATGTGGTGTTTAAAAGAGTTTTAACACTGAATCACATTTACACTCTATGAGTCAGTTTTATCCGGTTGTAATATATTATTAATATATTGCCCAATTCCAATGAATATTTCATTAGGATTTTTGCATTGATATTCGTTATCAATATTGGTCTGTGGTTGTGTGTACACTACCTTTGTCAGGCTTTTATCATTCACAAAAAGACTTGTTTTAAAGGTATGTGGAGCATAATAATAATGCTGAAATGGTAGGACACATTCCCGTTTATTTTGATTCCTAAACAATGAGAATGAAAAAATACAGCGTGGTACAGGTGACTTGTATCACTTCAAATCATAATTAGCCACTCTAAGCTTAGGGACAGTGTAAGTTCTTCCCAAAGAGAGATAACAGAAACTCTAT